AAAAACCGGCTTTAATAGGGGAGTGGAGCGAGGGGATTGTGGGCCCTGCCGATTGGCCAGGCGCAAGCGTGGGTCTTGTTACACAGGATGTGGTCATATCTACGGCGCGCACTTCCCTTGATTGTCATTGGTTAGTTTAAATCCAGGCGTGGCCAGCAGGGGCCTGGGCGTCCGGGAAGAAGGCCACATGTGGCCCCAACATGGAGGATACAGGCAAGATGGAGGGGAAGGCATAGCCCTCGCCCTTTCAAACCTTTACCTTAACTGAGCCTATCTGTCTTTTTGCATCTATAATAGCTTATCCTTGAAATGTCTGGGTAACTTGTAACTTCTTTTTTCCAGACCCCCTTGAGGCACAACCTAATGTGCCTGGGTTCCAGGACAGATGCCACAAATTCGTTCATTATCATCCTGTTCATTTGCTGGAGGCTAATTCCAGCATGTCACAGATGCAAGATGTTTCATCAAAAGGTTGATAGAACTTGAGGCTTCAGCAGGACTGAAAATTCATTGTTCCTGCACGCACCAAACTATGTGTCTATCATTTTACTTTTTATCCAATCCCAGAGGTTTCCCTGCTTTGCTTTCTCCCGCCTCTCTATCTATCACCAATGGATTTCATGTAACCTACCTGTTCCTCCTTTGGTTGCAATGTACAAAAATAGATAAAGCCTGCCATTTTCTGGAGCATTATCTCACTTCATTGACATTCTGCTTCCCAGCAATTGTCGACAGTTTGGCTCAAATAAACTCACAAAAAATTGTTTACAGGTTTGAATGTTTTTTTTTTATGTTAACACTTCTTAGTAGAGTACAATTCATCTTAAAATTTATCACCAACTATAGTCAATATGCCATTTAATTCAATTTCACATCATCTCGATGTATATTTTAAATTCAACCTGCGAGTTCCATTTTTTAAATGTATTCTTTTGTATTTGGTATTACCTTACTATCCAAACTGGAATATAAACTTCTCTGTGGAAGTAACTGTATTTCTTCAAAATTTTCTTAACTACAGGGAGCCTAGCAGTGAGCCCGTTTCAGTAAACCCAGTGTTTGTTGGTTAAATTTACTACAAAATGTAAATATATAACAAGACAATTCTCCCTACAAGTATTTAAATGTAAATTATAATATTACTATTATTAATATAGTATTTTATAATGCGCAATCTCTTCTCCCTAACAACTCTCAAATATCATCCCAATATACCAAGGTTGTGGGTTAGATCCTCAACAGGGCACATACAAGAATCAACAAATGAATGCATAAAGAAGTGGAACAACAAATCCATGTTTCTCTCTCTGTCTACCTCTCTCTCTCTCTCTCTCTCTCTCTCTCTCTTTGTCTCTGTCTCTCTCTCAAGATCATTATATGAAAAGAAATTTTAGTGATCTGGTAAAGCATTAAATAGATCCATGTGCTTTCATAAGAGTTCTCTATTTCAACATTCACAATTATTTTAAATCAAAGAATTAATGTTTAATTATAATAATTAAGTTTAATGTTTCATTGATACTCAGTTTAATTGTAGGTAAAGAAAAAATACACACTAAGGAAAACTCAGAACATTTATAATTTCTTATTACATGCTTCCTGTTTTTCAATTTATAATACAGGGTATCAATGCAGACTATCTAGTAAATGATTTTAATTTTTGAAATTTCAAAGTGCTTATCAAACACCTGCCAACTAATCTAAGTACAGTTTACTCATTTTTTATTATTAAAGTTTTATAATTAACATTTGCATAAGAAGCACAAATTAATGTGTATATTAAAATAGTCTCTCTGGTTAGTAGATTTTTTTAGAATTCTTCTACACTGATTTTACTCTTCATTTAAATCCCAGATGAACTTCAAAGGCAAATCTTTCATATTCCTTTGGAATATTTTGTCAAATCTTTCATTTTGCTCCACTGTCAAGTGATGTTTCCAGTCTCCAACGGTACCTAGAAATAAGCACATGATCAGCACCTGGGTGAGGAAGTGGCACTATCAGGGCAAGAGTTTCTTCCCACCCACTTTCATCTCCTCTTCAAGCCACGCTAAATATCTGGTAGTTCTCCATGGGTTTGATACTTCATGTTTCCTTATACAGAAATGAACTAAGAAACAAACCAAAAAACACTTCTATAATTCACTTTCCTTAGCTATTATGCTTTCACCAACCTCTACCATTAAATTATAACCTTTATTGAGATGGTATAACAAAAGTAAAATAGAGGACTAGGTTATAATTTTTTCATATATTTTACTAAATACTAGGCACCAAAGAAATACAAGTACCATATCAATTCACTCATATGTGAAATTTAATGAACAAACTGAATGAACAAGCAAAATAGATAGATTCATAGATAGAGAACAGACAGATAACTCTGGTATGGGGTAACTATTGGGAGTGTGGGGAAAAAATAGAAAGAAGAACTCATGGACATGGACAACAATGTGGTGATTGTGCGAGTGAAAGAGGTGGGTAGAGGTGGAAGATGGGATAGGGAGGATAAATGGGGATGGGGAAAGAATACAATAAAGAGAAAATCCTATATAATAAAAGGGTAATATGCAAATTGACCCTAAGAGTGGAATGACCGGGAATGACTGGACACTATGATGCGCACTGACCACCAGGGGGAAGATTCTCAGTGCAGGAGCTGGCCCCCTTATGGTCCGTGGCAGCACAGGGGGATGTCTCACTGCCAGTTTAGGCCTGATACCCTGGGAGCGGCCCTAAGCCAGCAGGTGGAGATCCCCAGAGGACTCCCGGACTGGGAGAGGGCACAGGCTGGGCTGAGAGATTACCCTGTCCGAGAGCACAATTTTTGTGCACTGGGCCTCTAGTATATATATAAAAATAACAATAAAAATAAATGCCAGGCACCATTCTTGGTAAAACTATATCTATCATGTAATGTAATTTTTAACACAACTCCACAATATCAGCATTTCTTCGTTTTAAAATTGAAAAACCTGAAGGGCTTAAGAAGTACAAACTGGTAATTACAAAATAGTCATGGCATTTAAAATACAGAAAGAGAATATGGTCAATAATATTAATAACTATGAATGGTGCCAGGTGGGTACAATAATTTTTGGAGGGATCACCTCATAAAGTATATAAATGTCTAACCACTATGCTGCATACCTGAAACTAATATAAAATAATCTTGAATCACAACTATAATTTTAAAAGTAAAAATACATAAATAAAAAGCTAAAGATAAAATAAATAAAATTGAAAAGAAAGCCCGGCCAGCAGTGCTTAGTGGTTGAGCGTAGACCTATGAACCAGGAGGTCACAGTTTTATTCCTGGTCAGGGCACATGCCCGGTTGCGGGCTCAATCCCCAGTGTGGGGCATGCAGGAGGAACCAACCAATGATCCTCTCTCATCAGTGTGTTTCTATCTCTCCCTCCATCTCCCTTCCTCTCTGAAATCAATGAAAACATACTTTAAAATTAAAAAAAAAATGCAACCCAAAGATTTTCAGGTACTGAAATCAAGGTCAGAGAGGGTGTTCAGAGCTGTCATTGCTTCAGTTTTACTTGATGGAACTTAGAAACTGTCATTAAGCCAATTTTTAAGTAAAGATTATTTGGCATCTTCAACTATCAAATTTTCTTTCTTTTTTTTTTTCATTCTTTTTTTTTTTTTTAATATATTTTATTGATTTTTTACAGAGAGAAAGGGAGAGAGATAGAGAGTCAGAAACATCAATGAGAGAGAAACATCGATCAGCTGCCTCCTGCACATCCCCTACTGGGGATGTGCCCGCAACCCAGGTACATGCCCTTGACCGGAATCGAACCCGGGACCCTTCAGTCCACAGGCTGACGCTCTATCCACTGAGCCAAACCGGTTTCGGCACAAATTTTCTTTCTTAAACACTCGAGGCCCAGGACATGAAAATTTGTGCAATTGGCAGGGGTGGGGGGTTCCTCAGCATGGCCTGTGTCCTCTTGCAATCCAGTACTCCTCGGGGGATGTTCACCTGCCAGTATAGGCCCGCTCCCTGGGGGATCGAGCCTAAGCTGGCAGTCAGACATCCCTCTGGCAGTCCGGGAGCTCTTGAGTGATGTCCAACTGATGGCAGTGGGCCTACGCCATCAGTCGGACATCCTTAGTGCTGCCGAGGAGGTGGGAGAGGCTTGGCTTGTGGCTGAGCAGAGCTCCCCCTGTGGGAGCACACTGACCACCAGGGGGCAGCTCCTGCATTGAGCATTTGTCCCCTGGTGGTTATTGCGTGTCATAGGGACCTGTCGTTCTGCTGTTAGAGTCAATTTGCATATTACCCTTTTATTTTATAGGATTACCATTGGCATTTGGAACAGTTGGCAAGATATTTATGGGCATGAGAATTACTTTTTATTTGGTCTAGTTAAGCAATGAGACTTAAAAGCTGATAATAAATGGGACAAAAAAGAAACACTTTTTAAAAAAAATAGCAATATCAAGAGCAATTTCAAGAAGATCTTCATTACCTAAGAATAAATATTCCTCATCAAAATGCTAAGTTATGGATAAATTAGTAAATAAAATATGAATAAAAGAAGCACAAATTATGTTCTAGAAAAATGTACATTAAAAGATCAAAAAAATTTTTAATTGAAATTAAGAAGTATCAGGGGAAAAATATATTCATTCTTAATTCCTGTCATGTCATAGAAGCACAATAAAAATTAATTGCATGTTGTTATTGAATACTTGAATTCATAGCATATTGGTTTCATGAAGTATTAATCTACTTTTTACATTGAAGAAATATGATACATGAGGAAATAACTGTAACTCAAACTCCCTCCCCCACAACAAAATGCATGTTGGTTTACTTCTGGAATGTTCTAGGAGAAATAAAGCAGAACAATAATTGGAGCTGTCCTGGTCACACATATACATTATCTTCAGGTAAGATTTACTAACCAATTTTAAAAAGTAGGGACACGTAGATTAAAAGGAAGGAATGCAATATTGATTAATTAGGTTCAAGTGTTAGACTATGTACTAAAAAATTGTGTAGTTTCCTGGGATACTTTTCAGGGCCATTGGCAGTTAAGATCTTTGATTCTCTCCAGGTTCCAAATGATAGTACTTAGAAAGACACGGTAAAAATACCTCTTAATTAGTGTAGGGACAAAGCAATCACAGAACTCTCAACACTTTTGCTTCTAAAAACCCCTGAGCATCACCTTTGCGAAGAAAATGTCCCTCATCTGTTCTTTTACCAAATTCATATTTTAGAATCTCATCATAATTTGCTCTTGGATCAGACTTCATGTTCTGAAATGTAGCCTGTTTCACAATAGCTTCCACATCCTCTTCACTCAGTTCTTTCTCAAGAAAACGGCTGATTTTAAGCACAGAACTTCTGAGATCCTGAAAGAATTGTGGGTATGAGAAATTATTCAGCTTACAAAGAATGCACGAGTTACATCCCAACATCTTCATCACATTTTTGAAAACTGAAGGTGATTGGACTTATTGTAAGTCTAAAGTTTGATAAAGATATATTACTTTCCTATTCCTTCTATGAAAATGAGTGCTCTGGTTGTGAGCTTTGTTGGAACTTTCCACTGTTTGATTTTATAAGGACAACTCACCTTCATTCACTCATTCATTCATTCAACTAGCACTTTTAGGAAAGTTATTTCAAAACCTGTGATAAGTGCTGGAGAGGTTTAAGAGAACAATAATATGCTAAGAGTTTACAATTTCATGAGGGAAAGAGTAAAGCAAGTAATTAAATATAATGGCTTCAAAAAAGAAAAGTCCAAGTTTGGTGGCTTCATTGGTTATTTCTACCACACACAAATAAAAGAAGAATTAACACCAATCCTCAAACTCTTCAAAAAAATGAAAGAGGAGGAAATACTTCCAAATTCATTCTGTAAGGCCAGCATTACCCTGATACCAAAGCCAAATGAGAACACTACAGGAAAAGAAAACTAAAAACCAATATCATTTATGAAAGATAAGATACAAAAATCCTCAAGAAATCACTAGCAAAACAAATTCAGTAATGGGTTAAAAGAACTGTACACTATGAACAAGTGGGATTTACTCCTGGAATGCAAAGATGAACAGCCCTACTTGGTTTGGTTCAGTGGATAGAGCCTAAGCCTTCAGACTGAAGGGTCCAGGGTTTGATTTCAGTCAAGGACATGTACCACAATTACAAGCTCCTCCCCAACCTGGGCCCTGGTCAGGGCACATGCACTAGGCAAATAATCAATGTGTTTCTCTCACATCAATATTTCTCTCTGTCTTTCCCTTTCTCTGTCTTTTACTCTCCCTAAAAATCAATGGGAAAATATCTTCTGGTGAGGGTTAACAACTACGACAACAACAAAAGATCAGGAACAAGGCAAGGATGCCAATTCTCACCATTTATATTCAGCCTAAAGGGGAAGTCCTAGCCAGAGTAAATAGACAAGAAAAAGGCATCCAAATTTAAAGAAAGACGAAAATTATGTGTTCGCATACAACATGATTATATACATAGAAAACACTAAAGATCTACAAAAAAAAAACAACCAAAAAATACCACTATTAGAAATATAAAACAAACTCAGCAAACTTGTAGATACAAAACCAACATCCCCAAACCATTTGCATTTATCTACACTAACAATGAACTGTGGTTTACCAAAATGGTCTCTAACTAGTTTGCCTATATTTACTATTATCACTTTTAAACCCATTAGAGGGAATTACATTCTGAAGATACTAATTCTATCATATGCTACTCTTCTAATAACTGTCAAAGCGCTCATTATTGCTTTTAAGATGAAGAAATTACTATCACTAACAAAGACTACAGACCTTGCATGGTCTGGCTCCTACTGTATCCACCTCTCTATCTTAATCTTTCATTCCCTCCACCTTGCTCTTTAACTTCTTCCTTCCAAGATATCATGCACCTGACAGCTTCAAATAATTTGCACATTCTCTCTTCTTGACTTAGACTTCTCTTTTACTTCTATACCAACTCATATCCATTAGCTTGAAGTTGTCATGTTACTTTTCCAGAAATAATTGCCTATTACGTATACCAGATCAGTATGTTTTATGTACTATCATACCTGCACTTTTCCTTGATAACAGTTTTCACAGATTTGAAGTATATATACCTACTTAGTGAATACTTGTCTTCCCTGTTGGATTATAAGTTCTCTAAATAAAGGTTTCAATTGTCTTTGTCTGATGATTTAGGGTCTGTCACATAATAGGCATTGTATAATTTTGAATTAATGAGCAAGTAAGATATGTAGCAGTGAGTCAATATATCAACCAGAGATCACAAAATAGTGAACTTCAAATGTGTTTGGTTGGGTTTACACAATGCATTAAGACAGTTTTCATTGAATGCCAACATGTAAATATTATGTGATTTCCATGAAAGCTACATTTCAAGATTCTCTTTAATAAAAACAACAACAAAACACAAAGAACTTGCATCACTGGGCACACAATTACCTCTGACAAATAGGCCAAATCTTAGTGGCTTCTCACCCCAGGGTTGTTTTTGTTTGTTGTTTGTTTAATATTTTTGTTTATTTTTAGAGAGAGAGGAATAGAGAGGAGAGAAACATCGTGCCTCCTACCAGGGATCAAGCCTGCAACCCAGGCCCTGCCTGGGGATCGAACCAGCAACCCTTCATTGCATAGGATGACAATCAACTAGTCACACTGGCCAGGGTTGGACCCACTGTTTCAAAATGCCTTTTCTCTTTTTTCAATCACTAGTCATGTGATTTTGCCCTTATTGACACCGATGGCTGCATGAAAAGGAACCACAAAAGATGACTATGTACAGTGAGAAGAGAGCCCTAAGGAAACCAATAATTGAGGGATGGGCAGGAAATGAGAAACCCCTGAAAAAGCATGAGAAGTAGTTAGGTTCCAAGAAAACTGGGAAAATGTGGTTCATTTAAACCAAAAAAAAAAGGCTTTCAAAGAAATAATTTTTAAAAATAACCTTTGCCTCTTACCTTTTTCATTTCCTCATACATCATAAACAGAATACTGAAGTCATGTCTGTGCTCATACCAGCCTCTGATGTGATCAAACCAACGGCTTCCTACCACTGGGGGGAAATTAGTAAGTGACAAGGTAAAGATGCTGCACTTATCAAACAGCAAACTAGAGACTTTCTTTTCTGTTCTGGAATCCCCTGGAAGGAAAGTAAAGCCCCCACCACTAGACATCCAAGTTACCTGGTAAAAATGGTGCTTTGGGAAACAATTTCATGATTTTAATGGAAACCTGCCTCTCCTATGTATGTAGGAAACGCAGCAGAGGAGAAAATAAGAAACCCAAACAACTCATTGTGAAGACTGAAGGGAAGCTCCTTACTTTCTTACTTCTTCCACCTGAAAATCTGTCTTTATTTCTCCTTTTATTATCTATTTTAAGATGTCTGGATAGCAACTTCAGATATCTATAAGACAGGACCCGAATCTAATCTTCTAAATAAGTGAGAGCCCCAGTTCCACATTCCACAAGCCTCTCGCATCAATCTATCCTCCTCAGTGTTGAGATGAATATTGCACCGCTGCCATGTAAAGCCTACCATAAGTCCATGACAGAACACACACACTACATCCACTTTGGATGGGTACACCATTGCGGATCTTTTATGATCTGGCCAAACTGTTTCTTAAACAATATGCCTTTGCAACCATAGCAATCCCCAAAGTGGTCCTGGTGAGAATAGAAAGGCCATTGGGTGGCAAATTAAATTAACAGAGCAGTAACCACTTATGTGCATCCAGCTTCTATCGTTACTCTTCTTTATTTCCTTAAAATATGTTCCCCACGTGTGAGAATTTGGCTAAATGACAACATGGCCTCATAAACAAGTTGAATGCATAAATTCATAGTTACCATTTCCATCTAGAAACCTTTTCATGAAATGTTCCATATCATTCCCAGGTTCAAGACGGACCACCACATTTGAAAAATGAAAGAATGAAGTCATAACATCCTTGGGGTTTCTGTAGACGTAAATAATCTGCAGGGGGTATAGAAAAACAATTTTAACAATTCTTGGTTGTCCTTAGAGGTTGTTGTTGTTTATTCACACCAACATATGTCATGATATGAATTCATAATAATTTGTTTCATCCACCCTACTATTATAGAAATTTAGGTTATAGCCATTTTTGTTTTCTATTAAAAAGACTGTTGAAGTAATCAACTTTATTCCCATAACATTTCACATACACAAGCATATAGAAATAATTTTTAAAGTAAAATTATTTATTTGTAAGATTGGTTAATATTACAAATTACCCTGCATAGAAACTGTTTCTGCCCTAACCAGTTCTGCTCAGTGGAGATAGTGTCAGCTTGCAGACTGAAGGGTCCTAGGTTTGATTCTGGTCAAGGGCATGTACCTTGGTTGCAGGCACATCCGCAGTAGGGGGTGTGCAGGAGGCAGCTGATCAATGTTTCTCTCTCATCGATGTTTCTAACTCTCTATCCCTCTCCCTTTCTCTCTGTAAAAAATCAATGAAAATATATTTAAAAAAAGAAAAAGAAAGAAACTATTTCAATGTACCCTCTGTGAGCGTTAATTGACATTTGATAAAAAGCCCTGATAGCATTCGAGAGCATTTCAAAAAGGAAACACACTTAACAGATGATGTTGAACAAATAATTATCCATACAGTATAAAACTGGAATTCTAATTCATACCTCACACCAGACCCCCAGAAAAAAAAAATCATTTACAAATGGATTAAGGATTTAAATATGAAAGCAACATTTGACATCTTAAAAATAAAGAACATATTTCTGGTTTCAGAGAAGAAAAAGATTTCCGAAACAGAAAAATATTATTTTAGTTAAAATAAATATTGATCAATTAAATTAAATTAATTTTAAAGAATGCTGTTCATCAAAATATATAGCATGAAGTTACAAAAAGAAACAAAGTATGAGAAAAGCAACACATATAACCCATAATTTATTAGTATCCAGAATATATAAAAAAGAATTCATTAAGAAAGAGACCATGAAATTTAGAAATTGGACAAAAATCATAATAAATTTCACATAATAAGAAATAATTATGGGCAATAAACATATTAAAAAGTGCTTAATCTCATTATTGTTTAGTAAAATGCAAACTCAGATTAGTTTGAGATATGATTTTATAATTTATATTAAAAACTAAAAAGTTTGGCCTTAGCTGCTTGGCTCAGTGGATAGAGCATGAGACTGCGGAGCGAAGTGTCCCAGATTCGATTCTGGTCAAGGGCAGGTACCTAGGTTGCAGGCTCCTCCTGGCCTGGACCCTGGTCGGGGCTCATGCTTGAGGAAACCAATTGATGTGTTTCTCTCACATCAATATTTCTCTCTGTCTTCCCTCTCTCTCCCACTCTCCCTAAAAATCGATGGAAAATATCCTCGGTGAGGATTAAAAAAAAGAAAAACAATGTGTATTGCGATGTAATATATACATTTGCTGCAACTTACCTATCCCTCAATACACTAAACATTATACAGCCATACAATAAATTCTACTAAACCATTAAAAAGAATAGAATTTTATGTGCTGTCATCAAAGAAATGTTGCTATATACTATATAATCACACTACAAGCAATGTGTGGGATGACCCAATTTATGTATATACTTATAATTCCATATCTATATTTGATGTGTAAAACAGTATCAAAGATTACAATAATCACATTTGAAAGACTGTGGATGAGTGGGGCTGGAAAAAAATATTTGAAGGAAGTATTTTTGTTTGTGCCAAAGGTCCATACACTATTTATATGACTTACTTTAGCTTTTTTGTTCTTGAGACCTTTCGGTACTAAATAATATGGGAGGTGGGAACAGAAGAGGCGAGGAGACGGTCTGTTGAGAAAGTCTGTTTTGCGTATTTTGTATTCAAAGAAGGGGACTCTATCAAGCGTTGCCAAGTCTTCAGTTCTGTTACGATGTCCCTCAAAATAAATCAAGCTTAATATCTGCTGAGTCCAGGTGGTACCTGTAAAAAGAAATAATTTCATTTCCAACCCTGAATTAATGTTTTATTAACAATGTCAATAATTATGCCATCTATCTCAAAACTATTTGGAGATTTTTCTTTCTTTTTTACCACTCCAAATATGCCAAGGAAATGTGCCCAACTTTTTTTTCTATGTCTTTTACATTAAAATTAGCAAAGATAAAATTAGGTGTTCTAAGTTCCATTTTTACTCAAAAAGAGTTGTGATAGTGATTTAGATGAACCCTTCAGCTCTTTTGTTCCCTGTGATTCATGTAAGTTCTGTTCATGTGATTGTCTGTGTTTATCTCTGTTTCTCCTTCCTTAGTCTTTCTTAAAGCTTTACCTTTTGGAAATAGAGACAGTTTAAAAGCTCAAGACCCCCTTAAACCTTTCTTTTTAACATTGTGCAGTGCTCCCAATACAGTGCTAAATGAAAGCACTGATGGGCATTCTTGTCTCATACTTGATTTTAAATGTTTCACTATTGCATTTGATGTCTGTGGTAGTTTTTGGTAGATTCTATTCGTCAGGATAAAGAAGTTCACTTTCTCCCTAGTTTGCTAATAGTCTCCCTTAGGAATGTATGCTGAATTTTATTAAATGCTTGTTCTGCACCTGTTGAGATGATAATTCAGGCTTTCTTCTATGCTCTAGTAATGTGGGTGAACTGCATTCATATATGTTTAAAACAATCTTGAAATAAAGCCTCCTGGTCACAGTGGTATTATTTTTTTTTTGACATTGCTAGATTTGTTTTTGCTTATATTCATTTGGTATAGGATTTTTGCACCTATGTTCATGAGTATATAATCAATGTACTAAAAGAATGTGAGGTGTCAATAATCTTCCAATCATTGAAACTCACTTGAGTAGACTTAATAGATACAGTAGGTTTGATAAAATGTATGGTGAATTCTGGAAAGTCACTAATATCCCCTTAAGATGAGTAAGAATTCAACTGATTGGACTAAAGACAAATACTTAGATTGGATTAAGGGTAAAGGAAAAATTCTTATGGGCTGCTTAACCTAAACCTAAGCAAACTGAGGCACCACCAACATCTAAGGGAGGAAAATAAAAAACACCTGATATCAAATGTGCTGACACATTTTGCAGAGTAGAAACATCCAGGGAAAAGGCATTGTATTACTAATTTGGGGAAAGTAAACAGGGTCCTGAATTTGAAAGTCAATGGTAAAAGGGAGGGACTGGAGCACTTTCATGAAAATCAGGAATGACTTTTTTTGTGTTGACTTTGACTCCAATGTATCTCTGAGCTATTTTAACCGCTTTGTACAACATTGATTCAAGAACACCAATCACCCTGTATTCTAAAAAGCACATATAAAAGATAAGCTTTTAAGGGGAATGTAAGATTTGAAGACAATTTCCATTAGTTCAAAATTATTTCATTATTATAGGGAAATAAAAGCAATTAGGGTAATTGAAAAGCATATTAGGAATTAGTTCTGACTGAGAGATGCTGCTAACCAAAATCCTGCTGGGTTTTTTTTTTTACATGTTTTCCTCCATTCTCAGAGAAAGCCAACAGGTCAGCAGTGACCTAGTATCTGCTTTGGCTCAATATTTGGTTTCTTCTGAGGTGCCTTAAAAAACAACAATATATGCATTTTAAATGACCTTTTATAGTAAAACTTTGAGATTTATTTAACTTTATTAAATATCCTAATGGTGCTCTAAATGTAGGCTGGGCTACTGTTAATGTCTGGAAAAGGGCTCATTTGTACACATGTATTACCAAACCAGAGTGAAAACTGATAGCAGGTAGTCCACTCCTCAAACTTACCAGATTTTGGAAATGTAATTATGAAGACATCATCATCTCTAATTTCAAAATCATCTAGATATTCTAGAAAGTCAGCATCAACGAAGGAAGATTCAAAATTATAGCCTTTAAAGTTCAGCAAATATGTATCTTTGTTGTCCATACTTATTCACCTACAAGTAAAAGCAAATAAAATACTTTTCAATTTCTTAGTATTTTATATTATGTACTAACACTTATTGAGTGTTCTATATATGCCAAGCACCTTTTAAATGTCATGTGTCTCAACCCATGCCATACTAAACAGCATCCTATATAATAAAATTCAAACATGCAAATAAACTGAACTGCATAACAACCAGTTGCTATGATGCATACTGACCACCAGGGGACCGACGCTCAAAGAGGAGCTGCCCCCTGGGGGTTAGCGTGCTCTCATAGGGGGAAGCACCACTGAGCAAGAAGCCAGGCTCAAAGCTGGCAACCGCAGCAGCAGTAGGGGGAGCCTTTCCCGCCTCCATTGCAGGTGGGCGGTAAGGAGCAAGAAGTCCCAGACTGCGAGAGCCCTGGACTGAGAGAGGGATGTCTGACTGCTGGCTTAGGCCCAATCCCCCTGACAGGCAGATATCCTTCCAGGGATACGGGGCTGCGAGAGGGCACAGGCCAGGCTAAGTGCCCTCCCTCACCCCACTCCAGTGCACAAATTCGTGCACCGGGCTGCTAGTGCATATATAAAAATTTACTCTTAACAGCAACTAAACATTCTTAGAGGTTTTATCACTATTTTAAAGAGGAGGAAACTAAGATACTAAAAGGTTAAACAGGTTTTCCTAAAACCCCACCAGGGAGGTATTATCATGATTCCAAACATAGAACCAAGGAAAATAAGGTAAAGGAGGTGCAAGGTTGCCCAGCTGGCAGACCTGGCAGGATTTGATGCCAGACTATTTGGCCACAGAGTCCATGCCTTCAATCACTTTACTAATACAGTTTCTTAGTGTGCCGAGCCAGCTCAGCCAAGGGTTCAAAAGCCTGAGTGTGGGCAGTGAAAGGATGAAGAAATGACAGACAAAGAGAATAAGCTGCGTCTAGGTGGATCTTCCTGTGTCTGGCTGAGGCCACAAAGAGAATCCAGAGGCAAGCTGAGCCTTTATTTTATAGCCAGAGATAAACAAAGTAATGGTCACTATAGTGACAATGTTCTTGTGAGTTTCACTTGTTTTGGCAGCACTTGATGCACCTCCCCCAGCCCATTAGCTACCCAGAGAAGATCTAGGGAGGTCATAAGGTCAAGCCTAATTATGCTAAGAGGACTGTGCCCTCTAAGCTAGGACTTGTTTGTGACTGTGCCAACAGGTCAGTCCAAGGCTTAACCCTATAGCCGTACCCAACATCTCACCCTTTTTTAATTTTTAAGCTACTATAATGAAAGTAAAACTTAAGCATCAAGAACAAAACTCTGGCTATTAAAACAATGACAAAACAATGCCAATACAAAACCCAAACTACAAACATGTTAACATTTTAAAACTTAACATAAAGCTCTGTTTATTAACAAAACAATGCCAATGTGTTAACATTTTTAAAACTATAGTAAAAATAACAAAACAATGCCAATGCAAAACAGCAATAAGTGAGTTTCTGATAAATGAAAGTTTCTTTTGTTGATTTACTCAGAGTCCTCAGAGTTGGCTGCACAAGACTTGCAGAAGACTGGCAGCTAACCAATACTAGCATAGCCAGAAACATGATTAAGGAAGTAGCTTCCACATCTTGTTTTTCTACTATCTGTTGGGCCTCAGTTGTTAACTTCTTCAGCTGACCCCATGTTGGCATCTCAGTCCCTTGCATAGCCTTCCTTTTCTTCTTTTTTCCACTTTGCTGTCATCGAGGCAACTTTCAGTCTTTGGAACACTGGGACAAGGAGCTTCTCTGGGTCCGTTGTGGTGACACATGTAAGTCTCCGGTTCCCAAATTGACTGCACTGCTCCTTCTGGAAAGATACAAAACACAACCTCTTCCCCACATCATAACTAGATCTGGTAAAACTCTTGGCTGGTTTGTGCAAAACTCTTGCCTGGCTAATTCAGCAGAGGCTATTGTACAGGAGGCCCAATGCCTTTCGGCTGCTGTACAAATCTCTGCATTGTAATTCAAAAAATTTAACAGATAACATTCTTCAATTTAACAGATAACATTCTTCTCCCCTTTTTTTATTTTTATAAAAAAGGTTTATATTGATGTAATTCTGACCATTCATAAAGAATGTTTATAGTTGATGGAATTCTGACCATTCATAAATGGGTATATATTTTAGAGCTTGCTACTGCATTCGTCCTTATCCCTGGTAATGCTGTCAGGTGTTCCAAAATGTTAAACCAGAAGATATCAGATGAAGCCTCAATAAGACAGCTTATTTTAACTCGGTGAAATGGGGTGAGAACTCATTAGAAGAACAGGCTACTAAACATGGTATGATGAAACCTGAAGAAATGGCTCTGGCTTCCTAGATACATATAAACATACATGCTCCTCTGTATTTACGACTTCCTACTTTAACTTAAAGTGTTGCAAATTATGCAGCTTTACATGTTTACAGTGAATTGGTTCTACTTTTGAGCCTTAGCACTTCAAAATAAAACGTTAACTTTGAGTCAAACTGTTAGTTTTTCTTTTTGTGTCAAGAGCTAACTTTGATGTGTTAAAACTTAAGTAAAATCCATTTACTCAATCCAAAACAGGCATTAAGAAGAAAAACCCCAAATGCTTTCTTATATCCATTTTCAGAATAGGATTGGCGCTTTCCGCTATTACCTGAGTCCTGATCTATCACTCCAGAGAGAACTTGCCAATCCTGCGCTTCCCGGGTGGCATGATAAAGGTTTACTGAGCCAGCTGGAAAGGCTGCAGTGGGGTTAAGGATAACGACCCTACTGTTTGGCGGGACCGGTGCTGGCCCCGCTTGTAATTTCCCTGCCTAGGGAACATCGGATTATCATCAACATCAGCCATTTACCCAATTGCTTTCCTCTCCTGCATCCTGAACATAGTCCAGGCTGCTTGTTTCCACTCCCTGTAGCCCTTTGACTTTCATTTCTAGCTGCTTGTTTAGGGGGTAAAAGGAGAGGCTTATGAGCAACAGTAAGCTCTCCAAATGTTTGCACCAGACTCCCATCATCCCAAACCTGCCGGCACTGTTCCCTTGCTTCCTCCAATCCTCGTTCATATTTGGGAGGAAGCGCATCTTCCGGAGGGTTCTCTCCCACAGGAGCTGTAGCCCCAGGGACTGGAGGAGGCAGTGGAGATGCCGATGGTACCGGTGGAGTCGGAAGCCTCTGGTAGCCTTCCCCCATCTGTCTTGATTCCCCTGCCACATTCATCCACTCCCTTTCTGGAGTGGGCTCTAGGCAGTCCTGAATCAGGGACCACAGGCTGAAAACAGAGGCAAGCATTTCCTCTGGACCTTCAGCTATATAATGATCTTTAAGTTGTTTTCCTACCTTCTCCCATGCCTCTGTATTTACCTTTCCGTCCTCAGAAAACCATGGGCAGATTTTACTCACAAAACCGAACAACTCAAAAAGCTGTTCATACCTCACAGAACAGCCCCATGCTTAGAGCATAACATTATGCATGGATACGTATAAATTCTTTTCCTGTGATCCTGAATTGCCCATGTTTTACACCTAGTTATATCACTGAACTTCGCTCCTTACCTTCCTTCTTGTTTTCTGCACGTGCTTCACTGGAGCGTCCTTTCACCTGACAACTGTAGTTCCCCCAAACTCAGGCCCCGTGCTGGGTGTAACATGTGCCGAGCCAGCTCAGCCAGGGGTTCACAAGCCTGAGTGAGGGCGGTGAAGGATGAAGAAATGATAGACAAAGAGAATAAGCTGGGTCTAGGTGGATCTTCCTGTGCCTGGCTGAGGCCACGAAGAGAATCCAGAGGCAAGCTGAGCCTTTATTTTATAGCCAGAGGTAAACAAGTTAGTGGTCACCATAGTTACAATGTTCTTGTGAGTTTCACTTGTTTTGGCAGCACTTGTGTACCTCCCACAGCCCATTAGCTACCCAGAGAAGATCTAGGGAGTGTCATAAGGTCAAGCCTAATTATGCTAAGAGGACTGTGCCCTCTAAGCTGGAACTTGTTTGTGGCTATGCCAACAGGTCAGTCTGAGGCTTAACCCTATAGCCATGCCCTACACTTAGTATTTCATATTTTTATTATTATAGAAACTAGAGGCCCCGTGCATGAAAATTCATGCACTGGAGGGGGGGGGTCCCTCACCCGGGCCTGTACCCTCTCACCATCCAGGAGCCCTCAAGGGCAAGAGGTGACCCGGCGGTCAGGGGAAGGAGACACCCCATCACACCTCAGCTGCTGCCATTGCCAGCAGCACAAGCCTCAGCAGGCCTTGGTTACCTGAGCCTTGAGCGGCCCTAGGTGGCTGGGCAGCTGCCATCTGAGGCTTGCCTGTGCCTTGGGCCAGCCCTGAGCAGCTTGGGGGCTGAGAGGACTGGGCGCCAGCATCTTGTGGTTGTGGGCACAGCCATCTTGGAGGACATGGCAGTCAATTAGCATATTTCCTCTTTATTGGCTGTGGGCACCACAATCTTTGTGATGGTGTGAGGGTCAATTAGCATAGCCCCTCTTTATTAGCTAGGATAGGAAATTCTCCAATAAATGTCCTTTTTTTTTTCCTGGAACAGAAATAATCTGTTGACCCTGAAGCTTCTGAGGCTTTGGGATCTCTCTGCCCTTTCAAATAAATTGTGGAATATGCTCTGTGTGAAACACCACCTGCTTTTTTTTTTTTTTAAATATATTTTGTTGATTTTTTTACAGAGAGGAAGGGAGAGAGATAGAAACATCGATCAGCTGCCTCCTGCACATCTCCTACTGGGGATGTGCCTGCAACCCAGGTACATGCCCTTGACTGGAATCGAACCTGGGACCTTTCAGTCCGCAGGCCGACGCTCTATCCACTGAGCCAAACCGGTTTCGGCAACACCACCTGCTTTTACTTTGGAGATGTCACCCTCATATAGTTGCAAGATATTGTATGGTTTTTATTACATTTTCCAATTGAATTTTAATCAGAAATCCTAAATAAATCTAAATAAGAAAGTCCACATATAAATAGGAAGCACACAGTCTAAAGACATATCTGTTCAAATATTGGACCAGCTATGCCCTAACTGGTTTGGCTCAGTGGATATAGCATCAGCCCAGGTTTGATTCCAGTCAAGGGCATATATCTTGGTTGGGGGCACATCCCCAGTAGGGTGTGTGTAGGAGGCAGCTGATCAATGTTTCTCTCTCATCGATGTTTCTAACTCTCTATCCCTCTCCCTTCCTCTCTGTAAAAAAAATCAATAAAATAGATATTAAAAAAATTGAACCAGCTAGGCATTTCTCTATTAGCTTCACCTACTAAATCTATTATATATATTTCAAAGAGGGAGAGGGAGAAAGAGAGATGGAAACATCAATGATGAGATGAGAGAGAATCATTGATTGCCTTCTGCATGCCCCCTTCTGGGATTGAGCCCACTACCCAGGCATGTTCCCTGACCAGGAAACAAACCGTGATCCCTGGTTCATAGATTGACGCTCAAACACTGAGCCACACCAACTGGGCCAGAAATCTATTCTTGAATGTCAAATAGATGAGGAAATCCCAGAAGTTCTAATAACACTAGGTTTAAGACCAACACATATGCTAGTCGTGAACTTTTAAAAATTTTCTGTGCACACCTAGAAAATGAATTTGTTAAAGTTGCATATATGGCTTTGTCTAAATTGCATGTCAAAAAACATTAATTCTTTTACAAACAATCTAAATCATCTGACCAACAGAGGAAAGTCAGAGGTGAGTATTTTGCTGAGTAAGAGTAGAAACATCACTTGCATTAGAATTACCTGGGTTTTGGTAAATGTTCATATTCTAGGCCAGGGGTCCTCAAACTTTTTAAACAGGGGGCCAGTTCACTGTCCCTCAGACCATTGGAGGGCCGGACTATAGTTTAAAAAAAAACTATGAACAAATTCCTATGCACACTGCACATATCTTATTTTGAAGTAAAAAAACAAAATGGGAACAATATTTGTATTTGCATGTGGCCCTTGGGCCGCAGTTTGAGGACCCTTGTTCTAGGCCCTATAACATACTGATAGGATTAGAATTTCTGGAAAGTGTGCCCTGGAAATTTGCATTTTAACAATCCTGTGGATCACACTTAAAAAAAAGGGGGGGAACCAAAATACTGTTTCAATGAATGTTTATCTCAACCTCCAGAGGAAGCTTTGTGGGATGTTATTTGATCTCCAATTAAAAGATCCAGTTCAGGCCCTACTATGTTGCTAGAGCTTTCCTGACTCAAGGTGAAGTCCAGGCAACCTCAACTATTGAGAAGTGAGAATAGAGGAGACTGGCTGGTAAGGCACAAAGGATGCTTTCAGGAGATAGATAGAGTGCTGTTATGACTTTGCTATTATGAAGTTTTCCAGGAAAAACCGTGGATAACTCAACCTTTGGAGTGTGGTGAGGAAGAATTTATACTGTATCACATGGACACAAACACCAAAAAGCACCAATTCCAGGAATTCTGGATTCAGAGAAAAGAGAAAAGAGTGTCATGCAACCCACGAAAACATTCTAAAATCACGCCTTTTAACTGCTTATTATATTTAGTATGTCTTGCACAGTCTTAAGAGAGAACAAACTATTTTGCAACAAAAACAAGGAGCAAAGAGTAGAGTGTAGGATGCATTTTTATATAGGATCTCGGGACTGGCGAGTCATATATTGTTTGTATCTCCTTAGTGAATATAGGAGAAAGTACTTCTATAAAGAAAAATGTCATGTGTTTTCCTTATTCTTGCCCTGATTCCAAAAGAAAAGGAAGAAAAACAGAAAATTGAGGAGAAATAAATAAATACATTGTATGTTGAAGAGAGGGTAAGACTTGAAAGAGGCTCTATGTCTACGTTTTCACTACTCACTGTTACACGTCAACTGATGAAGCAAAATCCACTTCTGATATAACTGCATGGATGACAGAATGATGTGCTGCTGAGAAATAAATACTCCCTAGAAGTGTATTTTGGCCAATGAGTAGTGCTCTAGGGAGTCAACAGATAGCTCACTTTGAATAAATAAATAAGGTCATACGTTATTGATATTAGGACATAGACATCTGATTAGTCCAGACAAAGCAGGAGTCAAAACTGGTGGTGATAATAAAGAGAGCTGCATGTAACCAGTCGTCATATTAACTTAAATTGGAAACTACAACAACAACAAGATGTATTTGAAAGCTGTAGCAACATCTTCCTTGGGCATGAAGGATGGCTCATGAATCTTTTAGACCTATCTCAGAAGGCTGGTGTTCCTTTCCAGGTTTTTACTCCAAACATCCCATGTAAAACTGGCTATGGCTATGGAGGTTCAGAGAACTTTATAAAATCACAGTGTATTTAAATTCATTTTCTAAAACATCCAGGGTTGTCCTTCCTAAGTGATGGCCTTCCACTCCTGTTTAAAAAAAAAAAAATACTAGAGGCCCAATGCACGAAATTTGTGCAAGAGTAGGCCATTTTTCGCCAGCACCAGCTTCCCTCTGGCACCGGGGATCCGGGCATCCCTCTGGCTGCTGGCAGGCACCAGGACCTGGGCTTCGTCCAGAAGGTCATCTGGTCTAATTAGCATATTACACTTTTATTATTATAGATATTTTATTGATTTTTTACAGAGAGGAAGGGAGAGGGATAGAGAGTTGGAAACATCAATGAGAGAGAAACATCAGTCAACTGCCTCCTGCACACCTCCTACTGTGTTTGTGCCTGCAACCAAGGTACATGCCCTTGAACGAAATCTAAGCTGGGACCTTTCAGTTCATAGGCTGATGTTCTATCCCCTGAGCCAAACCCGTTAGGGCTCTACTCCCACGGTTCCTCCCTGGCCCCAATAGTGAACCCGTGGGTCCTTCAGCCTGGCCTGTGCCCTCTTGCAATCTGGGACCCCTCAGGAGATGTCAGAGAGCAGGTTTTGGCCTGATCACTGCAGGCCAGTCTAAGGGACCCCACCAGTGCAGGAATCCATGCACTGAGTCTCTAGTTAGCATAATAAAGGTGTTTTCCCTGCTGGAGATTGATAATAGCTGTCTCCTCAAGAATCTCCCACTGCCCCAAGACAAAAAGGGAGAAGGAAGGGGGAAAAAAGGAAAAAAAGGTAGTTTTACTTTATGAAGCAGTTTTTGGTCTCAAGGTGGCAGAATGAGGTTACTAGGTGATATTCATCAGAGAAACTTGAAGACTTAATTTTAAGATAAGGCTTGTGTTCCCAGGACTTCCCCCTCGCCCGAACCCCAGTAATCTGGGAAGGCCTGGGCATTGCCAATCCCCCTCTAGCGCTCTGGTGGGAGGGGGCAGGGTGGAGAACATTGCAAAGCCCCGCCCAGCATCGCTCCCATTAAAATTTCCCTGCACAGCATTGTTAGTTGGGGTCAGGTGGTCCCAAGGTGTGGCTCACATGATGCAGGGCCTGCCTGTGACATCCCAAACCCAAGCAGGCTGGCTGAAGGGGAACTGAGGCTGGCTATGGGGCGGGCCATCAAGGCTTGGCTGCTTGGCATCATGGGAGCGCTGGGCGAAGGAATGGGTGGGAGGTAGGTGTGTCCTCCCAGTATTTTTTCTGCAAAAATGAACAGTTCAAGGTATGTGGCAGTCTTTGTATGTGTCTGAGCTTCTGTTTACTACATGCGGTAAAATCTTAGTCTCCGATGGCATTACTAGAAAATAACAATTTATTGGCCGCATTAAAAAGGATTAATTCTATGGTCCGGACCAAATTTTTAATATTAAAACCAGTTTAAGTTTGATGACCTTCAGATTGAGTATGTTTGGCGATTCTTCCGAGTGTGGATTTTCAAGGCTCTTGACTGAGAAATACCTTTGGGACACCCCAAGGGCCCTTGGGTACCTCAAGGATTTATTCTCTCCTCTCAAAACGAAATTATTTTTTAACTAAATTAGGCCGATTCAATATACTTGAAATTATATGAGGAAGCTTTGTCAAGTAAAAAATTAATAACACTGTTCTATTTAGATACATATATTTTGAATGTTATAGAGGTTTCAGTCTACTTCACAAAAAACATACACAGATTCAGAGCCAAGGTCAAACGGAAAACTTTCAGAAATGACAGGTCTCCAGTCAGGGACACAGGGCAAGCGGGATGATGCTCTGTGTCTGTCACTGACACTCTGGGTGTTTGTGGGTTCCATCTATTGGGGTTTATCAATTGTTTTCAATGTTTACTACACCGTCTGCAATAAGCCACGTGCCACATGTTATTCTTTACGTACAACTTGTTTGTTGTTCTCTATGTCATTTTTCAGGGATTATTTACTAAAAGGTTGTTGTCTCAGAATTATTCATCTACTCTAATAAAAGAGTAATATGCTAATTAGGGCGGACATCTTCTGCAGGACCATCAGGACATCCTTCCAGACAAAGCCGCAGGGGCTGCCTGAGGCTCAGGCAATCCACGGATGGTGGCTGCCACAGCAAGGGCCAGCCTGAGGCTCAGGCAGCCATGGTGGCCGCCAGTGACAGCAGCATCAGGGTAATGGGAGCGGCGCCTTCCCCTGATCGGCCAGGTTGCCTTCAGCAGAGGGAGGCCAGACTGTGGCTTAGGCTGGGGGCAGAGGCATTTAGGGGCGATCCAGCCGACAGGGGGTCAAAGTAGGGGCAATCAGGCTGGCAGGCAGGCATAGGCAGTTAGGGGCGACTAGGCAGGCAGGCAGGCGAGTGGTTAGGAGCCAGCTGTCCCAGATTGCGAGAGGGATGTCTGTCTGCCGGTTTAGACCTGATCCTGCACCAGCAGACTGACATCCCCTGAGGGGGTCCCAGATTGGAGAGCGTGAAGGCCAGGCTGAAGGACCCCTGCCCCCGTGCATGAATTTAGTGCACCAGGCCTCTAGTCTATAATCATAAAAGCATAATATACTAATTAGACAAAACGACCTCCCAGACAATCATGCTATGACACACACTGGTGCCAGGCCAGTTAAGGTGGGTGCGATGCAATTAGTCGGGGGCCTGACCATCACCCCATGATTGCCTTGCAGAAGGAGGCCCTGGCCAACAGGTGGTGGGGCAATCAGGGGGTTCCATGATCGCCCCATAGAGGGAGTCCCCACTGACCTGCGGGCTATGGTGGGTGGGCGGGGACTCCCTCTGTGAGGGAAGCCCAGGTCCCGCATGCCAGAAGGAAGCCAGTGCCGGCAGCCGAGGGAAGGAAGGCCCACTCTTGCATGAATTTCTTGCATTGGGCCTCTAGTACACTAGTTGGCAAACTGCGGCTCGCGAGCCACATGCAGCTCTTTGACCCCTTGTGTGAGGCTCTTCCACAAAATACTGACTTCTGTGCATGGGCCATGAAGTTTCAATCACACTGTACATGCGTGCCCACACATAGTATTTTGTGGAAGAGCCACACTCAAGGGGCCAAAGAGCCGCATGTGGCTTGCGAGCCACAGTTTGCCAACCACTGCTCTAGTATCTTATATGAAAGTAAAGGTTTTGATCAACTGCATTTTAAACAAATCTATAACCATTCCACTTTTCAAATTTTGTCATATTGGACAGCCATTGATTTACTTTGGTGCATTTAAGTCTTTAGAGAAATCCATAAAAAGGACTCTGACTTACTCCAAATTGCAGACTTCTAAGCAGGTCATATCTTTGAATTGGGTAAGGGCTTGTAGAACTTCAGGGACTTATTAACTGGAGATACTACAAAAATATATATAGAGAAAAGGTGGTACCTCCTTCCTAGCATACCCAAGTAAAGTATGCAGGTGAACCCTGGTCTTAAAAAGGGGAAATGTAAAAACCTCTTCCACCAATGTTCACAGAGTAACTGAAATGTTTTCTCACCATTGATAAGAACTAAGAAGGTGTGCCTTTCACCTAAACTGTTCCTTGCAAAGTCAACTAGCATGTCCCTCTCCCAGGCATTTTTCTAGGAAGCGACCAAGTTAGTTGCCCTGTTTGAAAGGAGGTAAAATCTCTGAGGTGGTATTTTTAAGGTTTGGGAGTAAAACAGCAGAAATTTAGGTTCAGTAAAAATAAAGAATTAAGCCAGTGAGCAGAAGGTTTAAAGTACTAAATTTGGCTCGAAATAGATTCCATCCTTGCCCCTGAAATCAGGCAGAGAATAAATCCTCTAATGACAAGGGCATACAAAGGGTGGGAACGGAGCTGTTTGTACTCTCCTCGGATCCCTGCATACTGGCCTAACCAGGGTTCCAGGTATGTGTAAACTCTCTTAAGTCCACATCCTAGAGTAAACCCCTTGGGAATTAAGTTCATTATGTTCTTAACCACCCAGTTCAGCGTGTACTTCAAACACATTAATGGATACCTCAGGCACTTTTAATCACAGACAAGGGGCCTGAGAGCAGGACACGGGTTATGCACGCTTCCCCCACAGGTTAGGGAGGCAGGAGACACCTTCTGCGTGAGCTCGGGTCCTCACTGTGGTGGTAAGTGTGGTTAGTCCACCCAGCAGCCTTATTTTCGACAGGAATTGGGCAAGGTAACCTCACTCCTAGTGTGAGGTGAGGGACGCCCCACTGCCAAGGCTAGTGACAATGGACACAGGACGTCCTTTGTGAAGCACGATGGATAAAGGAAACATTCTTGTGCCTTTTTTCCTTTCAGGTGGGAAGCGTGTCATCCACACCACATAAAAGCAGCCCCTTAAAAATTGGAATAATTCTGACCCACAAACCTTTAAAAAAAAATAGCATCTGATTTTGTTCTGCACTCAGGTTTGGCTTCAATACCAACTGGCGAATGGGGAGAGTTGCCCTCAGAGGGAAGCCTTAAGTATAACACCATCCTACAATTAGACCTTTTCTATAGGAAGGAAGAAAAATGGTTAGAAGTCCCATATGTCCGGACTTTCTTTACTCTAGAGGGCAAGCCAAAGACAGGCAGGAACTGTAAACTCAATCCCATGCTCCTGGCAATAACAACTCAAAATCCAGCAGAGCAA